AAAGGAACTCCAGTTTTCTATCTCCAGCTCAAGCAACTTCGAGAAGTTTGCAGCACAAACATAAGCTGGGAAAATTGTCGGTGATGTCACAACTTCCGTTTGATGTAGATACTTTTATAGGTAACAGATCTCAAATTTCTCTTATCTAGGGCATGTTTGATAGGTTGGATTGGACAGTACTAGACCCAATTATATTTTGTCTATTGCCTTAAGACTCTTAACTAATACTGACTGATACTTTATATCAAATGTGCCCTAAAAGTTTTTGTGAATTATGATCCTATCTAATTGCCACTGCAATGATTTTTGAGCAGATCAAAGATTGAAGTACAGCAGAGAAGAACTATTGTCATTGCAATTTTCAAATGCATCATTTTCAACTTCCACCGACCAAGGTAATCAGAATCCTCAATAGCATTCCAAGTGATCCAATCATTTTATAGGTGGTCAGATCAACAAAATTTATGGTCACTTTGGTCAGTATTGTTGTTGCCTATGTTCAAACAACCACAACAGAAGAGAGAGGAGTTAAAAGATGTTTTAGAAATGGAGAGCAACTGATAACAAGATAAATGACATATCATGCACTAAGCTAGTTATTACATTTATTGGTAAAGTTAAGAAGGTCCTGAGCATCCAAGTTCCAATCCATATTCAGTCTTGTACCGACAGATTCCCAAGTTAGCTTCAGAATCCTGGTTCAGTCCACGACAACTGAAGATCCACCAGAATATTATCCATTAATGGCCGTTGCTGCTGCTGAATAAACCATTGTATTGACAAGAAGCTGGTACGGGAGCAGATGGTCTACATGAATCCATAACCAGTACGGTGTAGTTTTTCAGAGCATGACAATACAATGGTACGAAATAATCCAATATAAATCATTGAATTCAGAAGAACAGTTGAAGATAGTATAGTTCCAAGTATTAACACCCTTGAAAGGAGATTCCGAAAGACTGAAATTTAGAATTTTATTGGAAATACAACGATCAGGATCGTCGATATGCAGTCTCTGTAGGGTCAATGTCGAGTACTTGTAATCCATCAGCTTTTGGGAGCTTGAGAAATGTCTGGTTCTGGTTGTTGCAAAACAGGTCGAATCCTGGATAGCCACAGATCTGGTTGATGGCTTTTCAGCCGGAAAGGGTACTGGATTTTAGGCCCCAAACTGTCACATGAAACGGGCTCACAAATGTCTGTCGAGAGACGGCTTTTGTTTTGTAAAGGAGGATGGATAAAGTAAGAAAATGGATGTTAAAGTTGCCATTAGGTTCGTTCATGGAATCGACTGTACTGTGAGTTTATATAAAGTAAGAAAATGGTTGTTGAATGCATCAAAACCATTTTGTTATCAAGTCAACTGGGTAAAAAGTCGACGACAGTGCACCAACATGCAAAATAAAAGTATACGAGAATAGATTTTATTATAGTGATTATTTTAGAAAATGTGCGGTTAAAAGACTGGAAAAAACTGTGTTTGTGTTAAATTATCTTATTGGGATTTGGAGAAAAATAAGTTTTTAAAGAATTTGGGTCAGGTAGGGACTTAATTATGTTCGGATAGCTTTTATTTGTTTTTAATTGGGCCATTTTAATGATTCCCTACAACAATTTTCGTGCCTAGAATGATCACCCTTTCTTCTCCATCTAAATAAATAGTGTTGTCATGGCTGGCTTTAAATACTATAAAACACATATAAACATATTTAGGGTACGTTTGATTGCAATGGTGGAAAATGAGTGGAAAAAAAATGAATTTCATGGAAAGTAATTGCCTAAAAAATGTTTTGCAGTGAATTGTTAATTAAGTG